ATGTCGCTTTCCCCTTAAATTTATCAGAATGGCAAATTGATCGAATCAATTTTTTCGTTAAGTACTGGATGACCATTTGTGTTCTATTGGAAATAGAGTCATAATTTTGCAGTAAACGAGCCGATTAAAATGAGTCAAACGTCATTTTGTCCAGAAAAGTCGTTAATATGATTACCATTATAAAAAGTATGTAATTATTTAACAATTGCAACATTACAAAATAAGGAACTAAAATATATTCTTACATACGATGCAGTCTAGCGTCGCGCAATCCTGCAGAAAATGAAACTCTTTAGACTAATCTTTATTTCTTGTATAAGAAAAGAATATAGTGATTTCTCATGAAATAATTTTGTATTTACTTTTGTGTCGATTTTGATGGACAACACTTTCAAAATGGATACCATTGTTATGCCTACGGTGTCTACGTCACTTAGTGCATTCTCATCGTGTTGTAAAGTTTCGTCGCATTCGCGATTGCTCGCAAAAAGATTGAGATTATTGCTCCTGATGGACTAGTAATTAACAGAACGTTAATCTTTTCTGAGATATAAGTCTGTTCTACAATTCAATTTGCGTAGTTGTAAGTTGATGTAGTAGTAAAATGGGTTGGGTTAGATTAGTTTTTCTCGATAATGATGCCGCGCCGCATAAGTGGAGGGTTGCGGAACATAATTTATCCATGCATACAGTTTACAATACTTAATTATTTATAAATAATGAAAAAGAAAAAAGGCTACGAGTCAAAAAATTCGTTAAAATTGTTAGTAAATAAAAATTGTCACTTGATTAAAAATTACGTAGTTGCAAGACCATAAGAAAGACAAGAATTATTATTGCGATCTTTAATGTAATTAATAAAACTAATATATTGATTTGATTGTATTTTGAACAGTTCTTCGAATTTATCACATTAGAAATAATTGAGACTTTATTAGAGAGTGATTTACAATGTCAACAGTATAATTAATGACTTAATGATAATTTTAATATAAATACAAAACGCAACTATTGTACTTAAATGAATTATGACGCTGAATTTTTATTTACTCTGCAAGAAATAGCCGAATTAAATGCATTGTTTCAGCACTTTTTTGCAGAATATGTACAATATTTGCTCTGTGTCCGTACTGCCGATTTATAAAAGATTCTTTGCTTAAGGCATTTATTCGGTGATATTACTAAATTTCAGTGGATTATTAAAAGTCACACGTTTATTTCAATAGTCTAACTAGTCGCCGTTTTGCTTTTAATTAGTAATCTTATCTAAAATTTTACCTATACATGCGTAATCGGTATGTGTTGAATCATTGAATGCAAAAATGATTCGCATTCAATTCGATACTTAACGTAAGTTGAGACATTGTCGCGAACAACGAACAATCTCGTGCCGATGATGATCATTTGCAGGCAGTGTTTCATTTTTACTGTCCTTTCCAATCAAACCTTTACACCGATTTACTATGTAAAAGGGTGAGATATCTCTTTTATTTACATCGCTTTTTACATCGCACTGACACTAAATTTGCATTTAAGTTTTATCGCGTTGAGAGATTTCAATGATCATTCTCCATGTTGCTCAAAATGATTTGTACAGTTTTGATGGTATAATTTGTTTTGGAAGTACATATACAATACATATATATAGTTCTTTAGAAATTTGTTCTATTTCAATACATTAAAATATTAATAAAAAAATCAGCAGTTTCTAGTATACGTAAAAAGATTTTATCACTGCGTTTAAAAAAAAAAAAAGGTTATAGAAAACACAGTTTGTAAGATTTTATATAGAAAAGACTTTATGTAATTAACGCGGTATAACATTATTATAATTTCACTTTTTTTGTTCGGCATAATTTGAGTTTTTCTTTTGCATTAGCCTTTTGCAGGTGTAATGCAAAATGTACATGATAAGAGATATAGTAATGTCAACAATTGTATGTTTATTTTTTAGAAATACCATCAATCTCCTACAGAAGTATTTCGAATAAACATAAGTTTTCTTTTAAAATATCTTTCTCGACAATACGTGCAATTATTTTGTATTTATTATTCACGTTTATGGATAGCATAACTATCTTTTTGTTGTATATGATTCAATCGCTTATATACGTATGAAAGTACATATAAATTCGTAATTAATTATTAACATTTTACTTATTTTCTTAAGTGTACAAACATAAGTGGTTTTTTTTATTAAAAAATCTCTTATAAGATTTTATTATTATTTAAAGAGGAATAAGGCTCTTGAACGAATGCTTCAAAGAGTCTTACACTGCCATCTGAGGCACACGATATACTTGATTATTAGTAATTGGAAAACAAGTACATAATGATCCACCGACTATTTATTAATTTAAGCAAATAGAGCAGGTGGATTTTGTTAGTTTAAAACATGCGAGTAATCACTGCATTCATATGAGCACTGAGGCACATAGCATTAATTTTTGTTTTAACGTGACTATATGCATCGTGAAATGTAAATGTTTCTTGATATAAATTCTTGAAAAACTTACTTACTAGTTACTATATTCTAACGATATATGCAATTCTATCTTTCACTAACTATATGTTTTACGGCATAAATGAAATTAATCGTAAAAGGATATTTTTTTAGTTTAAAATGATCTCCGTAGTAATAATGCAATATTAACAAAATCTTAAATGGTAAATATAAAATAAATATAAATATATTATAATATAATAAATATAATTTAATGTAACGTAAATTTTTAATACATCGAAGCATTTAAATAAATAATAAAAAAGTGGAAGAAAATTTCAAAAAAGTTAGAGACGATGTAAGAAAGAAAAATTAGATAATTACAAACAAATATAAAGATAAAAACTAAATATATTTTTAAAAACTTAGCAATACGAAAAGCCGTACAAAGTGTTATTTCTTATACAAATCTTTTTACATCAGAGCAGTGCGCAATATTTTTAATTATAAATTGAAAGAGTGTAATTATTTCATATATACTAAAGTCTTCAGAGGATTCTCTCTTTATGAGAACGCAGTTATGAAGGCGCCGTCGGCCTCATTAATGTTTCCACTTTCAATCGTCTCGACATCTTCTTTCGCTAAATAGAAAATTCTAAGTATTAGTAGAAGATAACTTCTTCTTACATATATAATTTTATTCTATCAATATATAACACGTTAAATCATGTATGGTATCGGTTCTTATTTAAAGAGATGCCATTTCCGTGCTTCTTTTGATTATTTTGAATTCTTCTGTAATATGTGAAATGTTCAATGTCCTTTAGAAATCTAATAACTATCTAAAAGACAGTAATTATTTATTTAAGTACTTATGTTAAGAGCACTGTTGTTCAATACTTCTGGTACGCTAAATAAATTAATTAATGTCTTTCATTTATAAATTGGCCAGTACTAGAAATTACTTCTATAAGGAATAGCATTATGCAAATTCTCTAGTCGCTTCCACATTAAAAAATTTGTATTTCTATATAATTATTATTTTGGCAATAATTTAAATAAAAATCTGCATATTGTCAAACGATATTTTCAAATACAATAACATTTGAAAAATCAATATACATATTACAACTGATTCAAATCTGTTATAGTTCACTTTACAAGGCTGTTTTTGCATACTATTCTATCTGCATTATAATAAATAAAAATTAAACGATTAATTTTTGCCTTATTATACCATCGTTGGAACAAACTTCGATAAATGTTGACTAAAGGGGACCATCCTCCGATTGATATATTATCAAAATCAAGAACTTGAGTAACCTCCAACAGGTCTCTTTTGTCAATATTTATTCAAACTTCGTAGAAAATATCGTAAATCATTTATCTCTAATAATAATTTAAGGTTTCACGAAAAATGAGAAATTATTGAATAAAAAATATTTTTAAAAATGTAAACAACATTGCTATTGTATTTTTTATCCGCAGTTTATTTGTATGATATAAAACTCTGCGGTGTTGAAAGAGTTACTTCAGATCTGTTTTTACTTATCTCCTTATTAAACTCTTTTTTATAAAATACATTTATAATGGATATATAACAAAATGTTACTCATTGGTCTTCATACTAATGAGCTCTTGAGCAAATAGTTGCAATTTAAACATAACGTTCCGTCTCAATTCCTTTCTCGAAATACATAATTAATCAACGTGCAAATTTAAAGTAAGTGCATTACATGTTATAATTTGAAGCAGCCTTGTTAAATTACTTTAAATGTAAAATTTCTTTAATAAGGACTTGCTTTTAAATTGATCTGCAAAAATAAGAAGAAATGCTTTGGATTTGGAATTTATACTTTTAAATGAATTTATCTTTAAAAGATTGTAAAGAAAAGTACTGAAGTTATATTCTCGAGAAAGAAGTAATTTTGCATTTACGTGAGCAGCTTGTAGGACGAACACTCACGCGTGAATAATTAATCGTGGAAAATAGGGATGCAGGCGCGAATGACGTTAACACTCACAGTGCGTTCCGCCGTGATTAAACATCTACATGTATATCGTCGAAAGCGGCGCGATTAGTATCCTTGTTGGTGTCGTAATTAATTTCCGTAATCGATCTCGTCGCGACGATAGCTAATCGCGGTGTGTCGACACACGCTTCGTGTATACGCTCGTCTCCGCAAGCATGAAATTCGTGTTCTCTTATGCCGTCGCAACCGGTGAGTTCGTGCTTTCTTATGTAGAATATAATGATGAAATAATGACAACGACGACAGTGATACACATTCTGATTCAACGACGTGCTCGTTAATCAGTGTTTTATTGCCGTTCCATATCTCGGATAAGATCTGGTAAGCTTTTAAAACGCGTGAATTCTAAGCGACTCTGTCGATCGCGTCGATGATAACGGCTCGTTCCATCTGACGTTGCGACGTCGTCGCGATTGTCCTCCTCTTCGATGTGCGAAACTCGTCCTCGTACCAGCGAGGATGCAACATGGTCTTGCAGATATCGGTGCATAGATGACGGATATTGTGCCCAGTAGTTTTGGAGCATCGGATGCCGGCTTGCCGCCACGCTGTACTAACTGGCGTCGTCCGGAGATCCGAAATCCTCCGTCTGCGTGGCGGCATCTTTGACTGAAAATTACCATTGATATTTATTATTAGCAAGGATTGAAAAGTTATTTTTTTAAAGTATAACTAGTTATCGTGTTGTGTGTGTGTTTTACCAGTTAATAATTTTCAAAAGTAATTTGTTATTGTAGTTGTTATTTAAAAAGTAATAATTCGTTGCATTTCGGTTACTTTTAATGCTGAAACAAGATTAGTCTAAAAAATTTTGTAATATTTTATTTAAATATTGATGAAAGCAATAAACAATAATAATATTAGACCGATATAAGAAAACATGACTAAGAAAAGCAATGCTTTTTCGGTCTGAACTAGAGCTTCGTACATATACTACATAATAATATTTGTAGTACATCACAGTGATAGTTGATATCATAGTGACATTACAGTAATATTTATAAAGTTTGTTCTTACTAGGTGCTTGAATTAATTCTTGCTGTTGACCAGGACTGTATTCGGAAACCTCAAACCTCACCCAAATACTCTCATATATTATATTATATCATCTTATCCTTGTTGTTCATCCATGTTAAACAAGGATAAGATGATGCACGAGGATACTCGGACGTTGCTCCATCAGATTACCATTTGTTTCGATCTATGCAGCATGGTCTTTCTGAGCAGAACTTTTCAGTTATTTCGAAGATATAAAATGGCTCAATGACTGGATCGCCTCGAAAGAATCTAAATTTTTCTACCTCGGAATTTGTTACCCGAAAAGTGGGAAAAGGTTATAGCTTTCGATGGACAATATTGTGAATAAAATATCAGATACTTTTTTGTTAAAATAAGCATGAGTCGCGGTTTAGCAAAAAACAGCGAGAATTAATTCAAGCACCTAATATGTTAATGCAGCTCTGTGATTGGCATTCTGATTATCATTAATAAATTGAATATATTAGATGAACAATTTTTGTTATGAAAATTGATTCAATATTAATTTAATAATTATAATAATTTATTCAAGATGAAAGTTCTTTTTATTTTTCTATAACTTAAGAATTATTGATGGATGCACATTTTTATTAATAAAAAGCTGTTTGTGCAAATTGATTAAAGGCATTATATTTTAATATTGTGGAGATAATAGATAATATATAATACAGAATAACAAATAGCAAATAGTGAATAATAGAGTAGAAGCATATATTTATGCAACGCGTATACCTCACGTGGATGCTACGTCACCATGTGTTATATGTCCGGTTTCCCAAGGGAGCGGTGGTGTATTCGCTAATGATAACGAAGAACAACGCGCCATTGAGCACCGTTCCATTGAACAACGTTCCAAACCTGAAATTAAAAAATTCCGAATGCTTGAAGCGCTGACTACGGTAATATTCGCTATTAACAGGACTGCATTATATAATGTATAATAATTATTTCCGCGCAACGTAAATTATCGTTTTGAACGATAAATTCGAAACGAATGTACCAGCTAATTTATTTCAATCAAGTCGATAAATTAATAACATACTTCCTAGTGTGATATTCAGTTTTATTCTCGCGATCATTGCTATGAAGAAACAGAGAATTATTACAATTATTTTGAAAGTGTAGATATCGCGTTTATTTTTTATTTTTTATACGGATTAGAAATTAATTCCTCTTACTAGGAAGAGAATTTAATATTATAATTTTCTTTATGTAATGTATTGTATTACTCCTTTTTTATGCACAGTTGGAAATTAAAAACATGTTTTATTCTATTATATATTACGAAACAAAATTGTCATAAAAATTGAATTCGTTAATTTACAAATAGTCCTTATATTTTTTGCTTTAAAATGTTATTATCAGGAGACGCGGTAGTATCTCCGGCCATGTTAAAAAAACTACTAGTTAATTTAAAAGTTATAGTTTAAAAGATTAATAATAGACACTAGTCTCTTATCCCGAGCCACCAAAGTCCATTTTTCGGGGATGCATAACTACTAAAATATAAAAAATTTTGAATTATATATTATTTACTATTAGTATTATTATATTGAATTTTTAATACATATACAGTTACTTTCATAATAAAATAAATTTGACAACTTTAACTTTCTAGAACTTTTATTTGAATTTAAAACTATGAACATTAAAAACTTTATCTAATTAATCTAGTAATAAAAGTCAAATTATGTCACAGATATATATATTAATGGGATGATCCCGTTTGCCTACATTCCCGATTGCACCACTCACATTAGCTGGTGCCTAGTAATTTTTCACTGCTTTATCAATGAAGTTATATTATTTCATGAGTAATAAGGCTTGTTAAGTTTTTTTAAACTAATAATAAAGAGAGACAAGGAGTTTACGAACAAACAAATTCGTTAAAATATTTAATTTTATTCTAATATATTGCGAAGAATATCACGTAATTTTTGTGTTATATTATTTTTAAATCAGCGAGCAATGTGTGCAATCGTGCATGTGCAATCGGAACCTTCCCTATATTAATACATATTTTATCTAAATGTTTCGCAACATGTAGTGGCAATTGCGGCAAGCAGTAACAAATATGTTATGACGTAATCAATGGCAGTAGTCGTAAGTTTGATATGATATGTGATTTCAAATGTGATTACGACGCAATTCGAATTTATGGGAAAATGATGACGCTGACTATTACTAGAGACCACATTATATCTCCGTTTATGGATGTCATATACAGCGCGAGGATTCAGTTAATGTTGATAATGGATGCCGTCAAAAGACTGATTTAATTCTCGGTTTAATTAGTGCAAAACACTGATTATGTTAATCCCCTTGCTGCCGATGCGAGATCAACAACATAAAAGCAACCGGATGAATTTTGTCGTAATTAACACAATAAGTAGATTCAAAGCGTATGGACAGATTTATTGTTAATTTAATTAATTAAATTTCAACTTTGCAATTTTTATGATTATTTTTTATTTAATGAAATTGTTTATTAGAAAAAGATCACGCAAATATAATAATTTACGAATACATTTAAAAATTTTTGTTAAAAAAGTTTTTAAATTTATTATACATTTTTATTGCTATATACGCATTGCCGCTACATGAAATTTAACATGAGGAAATTTTTTAGATTAACTGATTCATTTTATAACCCGATAACATTTGTTTAACGTACCTGATAGATCGATACCCGCGATGCTGCAAACATCTAAGCCACCAGTGCTAGTCGAGCAGCAGTGTTGTTTTGCTCCTAACGGCTTAGATCTGCACAGAATCTACATATAAAAAGGAAATTAAAATTAACCGAATTATCAATCATGGCATGCATTGATGGTTGAATAATGCTCGTCACTTTACAAACGATAAATCAATCGTTCCGAGTAGTAGTAGATTTTATAAGCTTTATTGATTACCTGTGTGATAAGGTTGAAATATTTCCCTTGAGAACGGATAATAAATTGATCTTAAAGCTCCCTGATAATCGAACATCACCGCAATATGTATTCATGCATGCATTTATGCGTTTCATTTATCAGATTAACATAGAGTAGTTTAATTGTAAGCGAGATATTGCTGCTCTCATAAACTTTATGCACGAACAGAATGCTTGAAATGCAACGTTCATCCTCAAGGGATACAGCTGAATATGTAAATACACATTCGGCAAACTATTTCCTACATGGTAATGTACCATGCGTTAAAATAATATATCAATTATTTAGTTGGAGTTTGTTTGGTTCACAGCAGCATACTGTTATTACATGTTACTACCTCTTTTTCTCAATTTGAGTTATGAAAAATAACTTTTCACTCAATGTTATCTTTTAGAATAATTTTATTTTTACAATAATGCATGGTAGAATTTTTTATAGGCTAGAATAATTCTCCTTCTATATTTTCACCTTCTTACAAAGAAAACAATAAAATTTATAATAATTGTTCAAAATCATTTTCACATTTTACTTGATATAAAGTTTGCTTGGTTATTGCCAATTAATTTATGCATATTTGTATGTCATACATTTTACGTTTTAAATATATTCTTTTTATATTATTTCATATAAACATAAAAATCATATTCGTTGGAATACTAGTTCAAAATCAATAATAATAGACTATCGGTTACAACATGGACATGATTTTGATTGGAACAACATTCAAATTCTAAACGAAGAGTCTTGTTATAATAAACGCCTTATCTCTGAGATGCTTAATATTAAAAAACAGTCTTAACCTACAGACAGACACAGAGGGTTTTCATAAATCTTACATACCGATCATAAACGAGGTTTGACTTTGCATTATCATGATCTTTTCATTATACGTTCTTTCTTCAAGACAGACGTGTTTGTTTTAGCTTTATACATTTGACGTTACACATTTCTTTGTAATATTATTACTTCTGACACCTATATTTTTGACAAATTTATTCTGATATTGATTATAATTGAGAAACCCAGAGGTGAGTTCTTTATTAAAGAAATATAGTTGCTTGTCTTTTGTTAATACATAAGTATTTTATTTTCTTATTAGAATCATGAGATATCTTCGTAACCGGTTATCCAATCGCTTGACGAGCATCCAGGTTTCTCCGAGTAATCACTCATTCTCTCTTTAGTTTTTATTTTTTATTTAATTGTATGTTTATTTGTATGTTTTTTAAATATTGTATAATACATTTGAAGAGGGCCAATACCCAAAGCCGAAACATGTTATGGTTTATGTATTTTCCAACGCTTTTTATAATTTTATTAATGTTCGATTTGTATGTTAATTAAGTTTTTAATTCATACATGGTTATATTAATATATTAGTGTTGATACAATTTTTAATTGATTTTAATTATAGATGTTTGATTCTTTATTAACCTTTTATATTTTTAATATATTTTTAATACTAAGAGTCCTGTATGTATAATTAATAATATTTAATTTATATTATTTCAAAATTTAACAATACTCGTGTTCTGTTTTGAAATCTTACCTTGCGTAAATTGTTTTATATAAATTTCATGGACAATAGTTGAGCTAGTAAAAACCAAGATTTAACTGCAATATCCGGCATTTGATTCCCAGGGTACTTACTCTATAAGAGCATATACTGTTTATTGACGACTCAACATATAGAAAGCTACTTACTACCGATGGAAAAAGTAACATGTAAAAATCATTCAAGATATTTGAAAACAATTCTAGTATCAAATTTTAAATATATATATATTTTTAATTGTGATCTTCCGCAATTTTATTATAATTATCGATAAATCAATTTGCATTTTTTTTAACGAAAACAATGAGTAAATTGATCCACATGATACACTGACATAGTTTTACTTCAAATTTATTCGTTGTTCAATCAAAAGCTCACGTATGCCAATTATAAAGAAATGCCAAACGTGCTGTAGTATTTTATTGTACTTGCATGTAGTTTTGCATTCGATGAGCGTAGAAAAAAGGCCGCGGTGCACTTCGCGTGGCGATTAAAGATTTACTGCACACCGACAAGCTTTTCGGAATTCATGGTCTGTAAAGTCGAAGCACTAAGATCTACGTGCGGCTTGCGACATAGCTACGCGACGTATCTGCCGTTTTCCCTCTTTTACTGCTGAATCCGAAAAGAGAATTCAGCGAAAAAGAAGGCACCAACCGCTGGATCTGTTGCGGAAAGTATCAAGGGCGTTGCGTAACGCGTTTTGCACCGGATAAATCTTGTTTCCCCGGCAGGTACTGTCGCTTTCCATCGTGTTTTCCTAGAAAGCCGCGTTAAGTCATACGTCTTCATTCGTTCGCCGGCGACGCGAAACGCCATCCTCTTCGAGAAATTTACTGATTCTGTTGCAGCACCGAATGCACGATTGATTTTGCGAAATAAAAGAAATGAAGCGTGAAATCAGAAGACAGAGAATGCAGAGCCTGTGATGTAACGGAAAGATAAAACACGATCGGGAGAAAAAGAAACCTAGGTAAATAAAGAAAACGTTTATGCTGCGTTCGGAAATATCACTCGAGTACCTCCGTGTATCGTCTTATCCTTATTTAGCATTGAATGAATAACAAGGATAAGACGATACACGGGGGTACTCGAGTGATATTTCCGAACGCAGCATTACCTTACAAATTTATTGGATCTTTCTAATCATTAATTTTCTGTTTACTGTTTTTACTCTCGGTATAGATTATATTTTTACATATTACTATTTTTATATTTTCTTAATCATACGTTGCTAAATCCAATGTATTTTAATTATAATATTATGAGGGCAAGCCAATAAGTTCTTAGAAAATCTGTCAGAGGGCACTCGCAGTGTCATGTCGATGAGCAAACGAATGAATGAAGAAAAAAATCGATTTTTTAATATTGGGGGGCTAGTGTGAAGTTGGCCCCCCAAAACATTATTTTCGTATATCTTTTGAACTAAGGGTGGGCAAACGAAAATTCCAATTGAGCATTCGTGAGCAAACGATGAGCAAACGCATGCATGAAGAAAAAAGTCGATTTTTTAATATTGGGAGGCTAGTTGTGAAGTTGGCCCCCCAAAACATAATTTTCGTATATCTTTAATATTAGCAATTTACATCTTTTGCGTTAACTCGTAGTTTTTATCATTTAAATTTGTTTTATAGCTGCATTTTATTTTGCAATTTATTTTTTATTGCTTTATTTATTGTATTTCTTTTTCAAAAGTATTTTTTACTTACTATTGTAATAAGCTTGTTAATACTAATTAATTTAAAATTTGTGTATTCCTACCTTAGTATAGAGAAACTCTCTCGAAATTCGGCGGAAATGATTGTTGAGCAGCCAATAAAGGAAGGGATTCCAGAAGCTGTTGGAGAGAGCTAGCCATGTGGCCAGGAAGTCGAGAAATGGCGGTGGCTTACTTCCGGTGCAGGCTGCAACGACTTCCTGAATCGTCCATGGCGTGACCATAACGATGAAACCTAAACTCATTGCAGCCATTGTTCGCGAAGCTGAGGTCGACAATCGTCTTTCGTGGGCGACAAGCTGAAATATGTAAGGTGTCTCTTCTGCAGTTTTCACTTTGTTTAGATGATATGTCTAGATATAATTTTTGTGATAAAGCTACTTTTCCATAGGGATGATTGGCATAGTCATTTGAACTTAGCAAACTCAACGAACCTAAGCTCAACATATTGCGGACATTTACACTTTATATATGATATGTGTGTGTGTGTGTGTGTGTGTATGTGTGTGTTTTGCGTGTGTGTGTGCGTGTGCATCCGTACATGCGTTTTTATGAGCAAATGTAAAAAATATTTTAAGGAAAAATAAAAGCAAGATGCATGTATGCGTCCAATTTGATTTAAGAATATCTTTTAAAATATAATATACAATTTTGTGTGAAAATTCGGCAAGTGTAAAATAAAAAAAAATTTGAAACCTTATGTGAGCATAGAGAGCAGGTAGATCGAACTATAAAACAATTTTTTGTAGTTGTTGCTATTCGATTTTAGGGGTAGAAACACTTTTTGGATGAAATTATAGTGTTTACGTTTCTAAGCGGATATCGCCGAAACAATGAGAAAAATGAAAAAATGTTTTGAATAAAAGTGTTTTTAAAACCAAGTTTTATTTAAAACATTTTTTCATTGTTTTGGCGATATTCTTTTAGAAACTGTCTTTTAGACAGTACAAAGTTTTTACTGATATAGTTCGTTTACCTTAAACATAATAATACTTAATAATATTTAATAAATTATAGATTATTTAAAATAGCGATACATTTTACAATTAGGATATCAAGAATAGATGATATGACGAAGATATTTTTTTTTATGAAGTACCAGCCTTTTATTCTTCATTAAGTATTCTTCTCAAAAGATGGAGCTCATCTTCTTAATAACTCTTTCGATTGATGAATTTTTGAATAAAAGGTTGAGCTTAACGTCGGCTTGATTACTGTCGAGTTTCAAATTGTGGCATTTATATTTAATTACAGCGATCATACCGCGAAAGATGTTTAAATGAAAAGTTAAACAAAACTTTTTTTTCTTTTTATATATCAGGCCCGAAATGATATAGAAAACTCACAACTTTTAAATTATACTTCCTAATGTCTTTAATATCATCACGACCTTGAAAAGAATCTTCTTAAAGTTTAAATTTTATCCCATAAAGAAGTTTTAAGTACACGGGAGGGTTGAGTCTTTTACGATCGCCATCGACATCCTAAATCTATAACGCCCTGTCTTACGACATCCACTAACGCAATTGTTCGGAAGAGTAACGATTGCACATTATCGATATTTCCCTAAAAGCCCGCTGATCCGTCTAGAGAACTTTTGTGTTTCAATTACTTTCACGGTTTCCAAGATGATTACATTTCACAGTCAAGTCGGATAACGATTTTTTTTCAATAATACATTGTATTAATTAGCGTCATTCTAATACGAAATGAAAGCACATTTTCGTTTATTGCAAAACAAAGTGATATTCTCTCTAGCAACAAAGGGAGAAAATTGAGATTGAAGAAGATGAGGGAGCGACATTTATAATTGAAGAGTTGCATCTAATATATTTAATAATGGGATAAAACTTTTTTTTATGGAAAAACACGTGTGACATTTCGTCGAGCGGTAAATTCTTCGCACCTCAGTCTCAGGGATATAATCTCAAAAGCAGACGTAATGTCAGAAAAGATCTGGACGAATGGCTCTTAACGCGCTAAAGGCTTGCCAACGCGTCTCAGTCTCGACTCGTCCTTTAGGCCGGCTTGACACGGTTACGAAAGTCGCTAAGCGCTAAGCTCGTCAGCATCAAAGCCTCTCGTCGTGCGGCAGTAAAAGGATTACGAATCTGCTCGTTTAGCTGGATCCGTCCATTTCCACTTCCTTCGCCTGCTGTCTTTTGCCTCTTCTTTTCCGTTCTCTTTCGCCATCCTTTCTGGGCGGCTCACCTATATGTGAGCTCCCTTCGAGAGTTCTGGGATTACAACGGTAATACCTGGATAGGTGTGAATATGGTTGGTAAATGTAGAATTTCTTAAGTGTCTGGTAAAAATAATCAAAAGATACGCTCTTTGAAATGGTTCCATACCGAATGGATAAATTATTACTGCTGTATTAATAATACTTTGATGTATATATAAAGAGAAATATATGATAAAAAATTATAATATTATATTTCTTCTTTCGACATGATATTTATTTTAATTATTACACATAGCAACGAACTTGTTTTTAACTTCATTGTTTTTTTATTTATAATGTGACAATTTTTTATATTGATTATTGTAACACCGTTTTTTATCACAACAATGACTAACTAAAAAATTTTAAATAATGGACAAACACAAATTTTATCCGAAGACTTCGACGATTGACTACAATTTTTTTAAGTATCCGGACAGATCGCATAATGTTTAAGAATCTTTCATTGTAATAATTTCGTTAATATTTGAAAATTTTGTTAACATTGAAAATAACCCGATCGGCGCCGAAACGTTTATTTTACTTATGTTTTATTATTTATCTTTAATTTAATATATTGTGTGTCTTTGTTTCTTTGTAAATGTATTGTTTTTATTTGACTCGTTGCCCGTTATACTAATTTAATTTTTATATATTATTGTCGAGCCTTCTCTCAATATTATTAATTATATTTACCATTCTTTAGGTAATATTCATTGAGACCAGAAGAACTTTGTTTTATTTATGAGGTGGCTTCTTTTGTCTACAAATTGATTGCCTACATCAGGCCTATCCAATTTGAGCTTCAGAGCCAAAACGCAAAGTCATTGACACAAAAAGTTCAATGTAAGTAAGATCTTATGGACTGTAAAGTGTTGATAAGCGTCACAAAAACATTTTACAGTCTCCGAAATCTCATTTCATATAGAATTTTTCTGCATAATGACTTTTGCTCTCCGAAACTTAATTGAACAGGCCTAGCTTACATGTACCGTACTTTTGCGTGCAAATAAAAAATTAAGAAACAAAGGTACGTTTGCATACACGTATCATTACCTATAGATCGATTGCCTACAAACATTTTTGCGTACAGATATAAAATTAAATTGCGTGTAAGAAAATAATTTGTCTTTTTAAAACAAAGAATTTGTGTTTTAAAGCAGAAAATTTGTATTTTAAAAGATTAGAATATGTGTTTTTAAAACAGTTAATAGGCAATAATACATGTAGACAATTGAACTGTAAGCAAATGTGCCTTTGTTTCTAAAATTTTTATATTATTTGTGCGCAACAAAAGTGTATGTAGGCAATCGATCTATAGGCAAATGAGATATAGGCAAATAATTGTTGGTAAACGATTGTACAGATATATATATAAACGGGAATACTCTTTTATTTAATTATTTATTACTTCCTTTCTAAAAGTTGAATAAATGAAACAAGAGGTTCATATATGTATACTTAGGAAAGGCGGGATAGAAGAAGAATAATAGATAGAACAAAAATCTAGACAGAAATGCCATCTGAGCCATATCATGCCGGCAACTGTATATTTAGGAAAGGCAAAGCACGAGACAAACTATTCAGTCGAAGTATTAGCATTCCGGTTCGATTTATCGTCCTAACTTTAGCAGGAACTCCCGGTATTCTCTTAATGTGATATGTATCTCGTATACATGTGCCATACCGCGACGATTCTTACCGAGCTTATAACTCGTTAAACTTTCACTGCACTACCGCTCTGTTATAATGCAATAGAACTTTCGCCCCGATGGAATAAGAATCTTCGCCTCGAGCTACCTAAACTCGAAATTGACTATTCAGCACGAATTGTGCAGGTAATGAATACAACTCCCTTAATATAATATTGTCATTCTCATCATGATGTATACAAAAACATTGAGAATACTTTTTGTTTCTTCGAATTCTACGCTACAAGTTACGCAGAATAACTTTTAGAATTTAAAAGTGTATGATGCTTGTTAAGAGTTAATTAGAAATTCTTACCCATCTAAAAATAAAGCCAGGAAAAGAATATGCTTATATTATAGCAGCAAATTCAATTTTAACAAATCCAGATTAGCCATGGCAGCGAAAATCTCTTTTTCCGTTCGATAAAAAAGCACGTATCTTCAAAGACAGAGACTTTTTAAATTTAATTTTAAGTCGTAAGCTTTAAACGAGTTAATTTATTTGCGACAGAATATACATATAAATATAACTATATACAAAATGACGTTCTTTGCAAAGATCTTGATTCTAGTATCGCATATTATTTATTTTACATCAAATGTTTTTCATTCTATCAAATTTGTCACAGAATCATTTTATCGACAATCTATATTTCTCAACGTTATGCATTCTGAATTTACGAGTTTCCGGGAATATCGAGATTATCTATCATCGTTGCATAGTCTCGAAAGAAAATTGAAAGACCTTTTGAATTTCATGCGCGGTCAAGGAGAATAATCTGTCGAACAAATAGAAAATTGACGATGCTTACTGCACTATATTTAAAATTATGAAAAATTAATGTACTGCAATATTTATTATACTACAGATACGATAATGCATGAAACAAAGAATAAACTGTGAAGGTATGTGTAATTTTAAAACTTCTTTTTCAAATTAAACTTAATATGAGATATAAAAAAAATTTAAATCCCCAGACAAAATAATGTTTTAATTCTTTTTTATACATTGATTCGAAATGACAAATGCGAGTTTTATAATACAGTTTATGTCAATTTATATTGTACAATGCATAAGAGAAATAGATGTAAGAAAGCTAAAGATTTGTAGTCCTAAGCAAACAATTATAACAAAGTAAATAAGCTTTTAATGCGATATATAATCCTAGACATAATCATATTATCACGAGAGATAGTGCAACATAGTGTGTGCAGTGTTAAATTTATATATCTCTCCACATGCCATTCGCAGAATGCGCGCATTTACAACAATGTAGACATTATTTCCATCGTAATTATGCAAGGTGTTACACCATTTTGGAGTAATCCATGTGATATATGTAGTTGTGCGTTAAAGAGATTATTTACGAATCAAAGCGCTTGC